CTTCTCTGCCCTTAGCCTGGGTCACAGTGATCAGCCCCATGGTCTGTGTGTAGGTGACTTGTGGTTCCCACACCCTAAGCACAAACCCGGTTATTTCATCTGGAGACCACAGGCTAGAGTAGAAGTGTCCTCTTTCCAGGAGCCTGCCTGTGCGCTTGAGAGCTCTGCCAAGGTCCTCCAGTGCTGCCCTGTGAGGGAGTCCTCCTTCTTGAGTCCTGGGAAGTTCCTGCTTTGGTTCCTCTGCAGAGAAGCTTGCTCTGGCCTGGCCTCAGAGGATCTCGCCATTCCTGGATCAGGCCGCCCACCCCACCCATCTCCACCATTTCTTCAAGATGACTCATTCTTCCTGGAATTCCCTCACTGAAAGTGGGCCTCTTGAAAATTACTGTTTTACCATATAAATATAGCTTTCACATACTGCAACATTGATACCCACACTTTCCACTGTGAGGAGGGGCTCTATTGAATCATTCTTCATGAGGCCCAAGTTGCATTTAATTCCAAGTTGAAACAGCTCAAATTATTTCCAGGAGATATTGCAGTGAAATATGAAACATTTTTTGGAATCTCCTCTGTAGCAAAGGCATAAATGCAGATATACAACTTCAGAAAGGTCATCAGTTTGAAAACAAGCATTGGCAAAACAAATGATTCATTTCTGTAGATTCTTTTAAATTTTGAAAATGAACTGCATGCTAATAAACACTGAAAACACTGATTTTATAATCATTCAAAGTGCATATACATTTTTGGAGGGACAACCTGTATTTATTCATTTAATCCTCAGGCTGACTCTATGAGGTAGGCATATTAACATCCCCATTCCACAGATGAGGAATTTGAGCCACTGGGAGGTTGAATAACTTTTTAGGTCTCATTGCCAGTTAGAGGTGAGCCTTGCATTTGTGCATCCAACAGCCTTGGTCCAGAGCCTGCAGGTTTAATCTCTAAACTTGTTCAGAATAGATAGAATATTTCCATGAGCATTGCTAGTTCTTTTGGACAGCACTGCTCTAAACTGTGCTGCCTCGTTTGAAATTCTGCAAAGTGTGTTTGTTCATTCATTCATTCACTAGATTTTTGAGTGCCTGCTCACACCTGGTATGATTGTAGATACCAGTCCTTGGGAATAAGGAGAGGTGAGAGGGGGATACAGAGGACACAAGGTAGACCAGGACATTGGGTGCCATTTCAGATTTGCTTTGTGTTCTTCAGGTGAAACACCTTACACGGGACTGGAGAACCACAGCACATGCCCTCAAGTACTCGGTGACCCTAGAGTTGAATGAGGACCACCGGAAGGTGAGGAGGACCACCCCTGTCCCTCTCTTCCCCAATGAGAACCTCCCCAGCAAGATGCTCCTGGTCTATGATCTCTACCTGTCCCCTAAGCTGTGGGCCCTGGGCGCCCCGCAGAAGAATGGGAGGGTGCAAGAGAAGGTGATGGAACACCTACTCAAGCTCTTTGGGACCTTTGGCGTCATTTCATCAGTGCGGATCCTCAAACCTGGGAGAGAGCTGCCCCCCGACATTCGGAGGATTAGCAGCCGGTACAGCCAGGTGGGGACCCAAGAATGTGCCATTGTGGAGTTCGAGGAGGTGGAAGCCGCCATCAAAGCCCATGAGTTTATGATCACGGAATCTCAGGGCAAAGAGAACATGAAAGCTGTTCTCATTGGTATGAAGCCACCCAAAAAGAAACCTCCCAAAGACAAGACCCACGATGAGGAGCCCACTGCGAGCATCCACTTGAACAAGTCCCCGAACAAGAGAGTTGAGGAGCTTCAATACATGGGTGACGAGTCTTCCGCTAACAGCTCCTCCGACCCCGAGAGCAATCCCACGTCCCCTATGGCTGGCCGGAGGCATGTGGCCACCAATAAACTCAGCCCTTCTGGCCACCAGAATCTCTTTCTGAGTCCAAATGCCTCTCCGTGCTCAAGTCCTTGGAGCAGCCCCTTGGCTCAACGCAGAGGCGTTTCCAGAAAATCCCCACTGGCTGAGGAAGGTAGGCTGAACTGTAGCACCAGTCCGGAGATCCTTCGCAAGTGCATGGATTATTCCTCCGACAGCAGCATCACGCCCTCTGGCAGCCCCTGGGTTCGGAGGCGCCGCCAAGCTGAGATGGGGACACAGGAGAAGAGCCCCAGAGCGAGTCCCCTGCTCTCTCGGAAGATGCAGAGTGCAGATGGGTTACCTGTAGGGGTGCTGAGGTTGCCCAGAGGCCCTGACAACACCAGAGGATTCCATGGTGCACACGAGAGGAGCAGGGCCCATGTATAAATACCTTTTATTTTTAATACCGGCTCCATTGAAAACCACCTGTTTTCAAGGTTCTGATAAATACTTGGCATGCCATAGAATGAAATTAAGTCCCCTTTCAAGAATTTTGTATACATATGAACCTGTTAATTTATGTTTGTAATGTATATAGATTGTCTGGACACCCTGGTTTTAAGGCCATCTTCTAGTTCAGGAGACCCCTTCCTCCCAGCACGACCGCTGTTGTGATGCTGTCCAGCGTGTGTGTGAACGTCACGGCTCCGTACGGCTGTGGGATGGGCTCCCGGGAAGCCTGGCAGCCAGCCCCTTCTTCGGGGCAGGGTTCTTCTCTTCCTCTTTGGTGAGCTGTCCTCGGCCACGCGGCGTCCTCAGAGCCCAGAAGAGTTCTTTTGTGCAGTGGCAACTCGTTAAACCTGTAGCATGGTGTTTTCTAGGATCTAATGTATGTTTTCTGTCAACTGAATAAAAAATAAAACACTCAAGCCCAGCCGCGTGGCTCAGTGGTTGAGTGTTGACCTATGAACCTGGAGGTCACGGTTCGATTCCTGGTCAGGGCACATGCCCGAATTGCAGGCTAGATCCCCAGTAGGGGGCATGCAGGAGGCAGCCGATCAATGATTCTCTCTCATCATCGATGTTTCTATCTCTCTCTCCTCCTCCATTCCTCTCTGAAATCAATGAAAATCTATTTTAAAAAATAAATAAAATAAAACACTCAACTGGGAGTGTTGGCTCTGAAATCTGCCTGACAAACACCTGCCTCCTGACCAGGCTGTGTTTAGTGTGTCATGAGGCCCTGAAGTGCTTCACCAGCTTAGACCCATCCATCCCATCCTCTTTTTTCAAGGCGTGGGCTTGGTTTCTCGTGCAGACCTTCACGAGCCCAGAGACCCTGAACACCTTGCTAATGAACCTGCTCTTTCTAAAGCTCTGGCCAAACCTTCGGCAGGAGCCTGGGCTTCCTGTTGGTTGGCATAGAAGGCTTTCTTGAACAGCTTGACTGGGAAACTCAGCCAACAGTATTTTTACAGATGTTTCATTATTTTTAACGAAAACCAGCTCTCTCTCCATATTAGGATTCAAAGCTTGTTGGACCTCTCCACCTGAGGTGCTGGCAGAACATTCAAACTCTACACATGTCCAAAACACCCTCCTCCAACTGCACCTTCCACACACGTGCTCCTCCTGACGCCCATCCCAGCCAGGGACACCACCATCTCCCGTGGCCCCAGACTGGAAAAGAGCCTGCACGGCATATGTGCAGAATGCAGGTGCTGGGCGTTGACAGCTGGGTTCAAATCCTAGTGGCCTTTCACAAATACCTTCTGTTTATCTGTGCCTCTGTTTCCTCTCCCATAAAAGGCGGACGATAATATTCCCACCTCATTTGATTTGTGAGGATTAAATGAGTTAGTACCTGTAAAATACTTAAATTGCACACGGTAAACACTCAAAGAATGTGAGGGTCAGCAACTCAGAGCTGTTGGTTCTAGTCCTGAAATGTTTCTTGCATGTTCCCGCTTCCCCAAGTCCTTCTCCCTTCTCCCAAGGTCCTTAGTGTCTGGTCCCTCCTAATGCCTCCAAACTCATTTTACTTCACATAACTTTTTTTTTATCTTTAATTTCTTTATTGGTTAAGGTATTACAAATGTGTCCTCCCCCCCCCCATTAACCCCCCCCCCCCCACACACACATCTTTACTTAAACAAACAAACAAGTTGCTGGCTGTTCCTTCCCTAAACATAGAATAAGGGGCAAACTACCCTCACCTCCCACCATGTGTCTTGGGGGAAGGCCTCTGAACATTAGCTCTGTTCATCCAGAGGCGTGTCCATTCCTGCATCTCATCTACCATTGCATCACTCCCGGGTTGGGCTGGGTTGAAAATGGCTCTGCTTGCTTTCTGCCACATGGGACTGAAATACTGAGAAAGGACATATGTGAAGACACATTGGTCACTGATTGTTTTTATCTACTATCTACTGGAAATGTGAACTCACTATTTCCAATTCAGCACATATTCTATATTGTAAGTGGCAACCATGATGGAAAAACACCTAGAAACTCATGGCAGTGCTCTAGGAGGAAAGGATGGAAACGATCGGGAATGTTGACTTCTGGCTCCAGCACCACCTTCGATCCAGGTGAGTGCCCATTCCATAATGGAGACATAATCCTATAGGCGACAGCCTGAGGACTTCGTCACATGAAGCACCTCTCACAATGATGGGCATGTTGATGGGCCAGTCCTTTGTGAGGCTGTCAGTGGAGTGGGAGTCATGCCAGTCACTCATTGCTCCGGGAGCTGGAATAAATGTGGTGGGGTCATGTCTGGAGTGTGTATGCAGTCCAGCGGGTAAACTGAGCTACTTTCACTTGAACCAGTGTCTAGTTGACCAGCTGTTTGCACAGCACTCCTGACTTGTAATCAGCTATGGATGCGCAGAAGCAAGTGAGACATACACAGACTGTACACAGATATCTAGTTAAATTCCACATGCATTCTATACTATGGATAAAAGAAAGAATGGGCTACAGTGCTTTGGATGAAAGATGAAGCGTATGTGATCCTTGCCCTTATCTGTAGCTGGAATGTGCAGTACATTCAGACCTGCTTTCTCAACACTGTGCTTATTATTAACACACCTTCAAAGATGAATTTGTGGTCAATTTCAAAATGGTAGCCCCTGGAGACAAATTCCTCCCATTGGTTTGCTCTCAGCGCCCTCTGGTGTCCAACCTGGGGCATAGCCCTATCTAAAGGGATTATAACCCAACACCTGCAGAGAGTCATTTACACTTTCATCTTTGGAAAATAAAGACCCGAGTTTAAATTCCAGCCTGTGATTTCCAGACCATGAGGCCTGTCTCACCTCTCTCAGATTCAGTTTCCTCATCTGTAGAATGATGATGGTAGCTACAACATCAGTGTTTTTGTAAGGATTAAAGGGGATAATATATGGAAAATACTTCACACAATACTAGTTTAAAGAAATTTCTCCCAAAACAAAACAAAACATGTCATCACTAAAACTCTTAGCCATATATTCTCATTCTACGAAGTATAGGAAAGACTTACCTAGAGCACTGATCACGTTGCATTAGAGTTAATTGTTTATGCACTATTTCTTTGCTGGATTATGAACCTTGAGGTAAAGACCATGTAGCTCAATGCATCTAATTAAGTCTGGCGCATGGCTGGAGTTCAGGAAATATTTGTTGAATGACTACTGAATAAAAACTTGTTTTCTGCAGCCTTAAAAATATTATACAGTGTGCGACAAGTTTGGTGTTTCCAAACATCCAAGCAGGCCCTCTCACAGGCCACGTAGATCCCAAGGACTCGTTGACAATGCCTTGTCCTGAAACACTGTGGTGCTGGAATGTCCCTTGGAGAGGCTGGTGTCCCGTCATAACCTATGGAAAAGTACAATCTGCATGATTAAACCTGGGACAAGGACTCTGAACCCCTGAAGAATCTGAAAAGGAGTGTGAGTACCTAGGAGAGATGGGAGGAGCTTAGGGATGGAGACGGGATCAAGAAACCACTGACGCTGCCTCTCATCTGTGCAAAATAAGGGAGATGTCCCCTCCTGAAGCACCTGGAATACACTCCAAAGAGCCAACCCAATTAGCAACTCAGATACATTCAATTGTGCAAATGTCCTTGAGGCTCTAATATGTTGTTTCAAGTGGACATGGGGCAGACTTCAGAGAAAGAGCAAATATGGGCATGAATAAATATTTTCATTATCCAAAAATGACTCTTCTAATACCGTAAGTCCACAAACCTATAACCGAGAACAGAAAATAAATCAGAAAGACAAGTAGGTTTGTTCTATTTTTAAACACAGTAATATAGTGTGAGAAATTTCAACTGTGTTTTTACTTTTAAGGAGCTAAGTTTTGGAACAGAAACTTTCTTGTTCTGAGTTGCAGCGTCTCTTCAAAGATGGAGAAGCTGACTTTGACATTGGAAACTGATTAGAAGCTGGTGATTGCAGATTAACAGAGTGCAGCATCTGTTCTTTGTTGAGCAGAGCCTGACAACAATTTAAGGAAGAGGGGTCTATAAAGCCGCAGAGTGCTTTGAAATCAATGGCCTCACAGAAGAACTTTAGGCCAAATGAAAGAGCTGGGCTTTGTAGTTGTTACCCATTGGCAGACAATGAGCTCTCGGGACTATGAAATGATTGTTGAAGAACTCCTGGAGGGGATGTAGTCTCTGCATCCATCAAAGTCTGACTCCATCCAAGGAAAAGGAGTTGGGACACCTGTGAGGAGCTGGGATCCCTTTGAGACAAAAAGTGAGGCTGTACTGAGATTTTACTCTTTAAATAATATAAAAATAAAATACCCATTACCACACATCAACTGTTTGAGAAATCATGTTAGATGTAAGATACTGACAAAGTTCATTGCTTTAACTTTTTTTGTTGTGGGGAATGAGTGAACAAGACTCGGGTGCATTCTATTCTTCTTGTGCTTATATTCTTCTGGGACGAGGCCTGCAACACACCCATAAAAAAGATAATAACAGATAATAGTTTAGAAAAAAATAAAACAAGGTAATGGGGTAGAAACTGACAACAGGTGGGGTGACAGGTTATTTTATTTATTTATAATTTTACTAGGGGCCCAGTGCACTGGGTGGGGGGGGGGGGGGTTCCTCA